AAAAAAAAAAAAAAGCGTCCAGAATTGTACTATGCAGTCACATAGGCCTTTCTTCAGTCTTCAGTGTGGTTTCGATAAGGACGCATGCGGCCGTATGCGTAGGTATTTTATGCGATCACATAGCTTTGCCCTTTAGCTCCCTTGCATGTTGCTTACACCAAGTTAATCCACCTTGTTCCATCTTCCATACCCAATATGAAACTTATCATTTTTCTTATTGTGGCTGATGTTTTATTCACTATAGTTTAACAAGTAATCTCATGGCTTTTTTAACCTTCTTTGCTCATGACCTAGTCATTGGTCATTCCTCCACGATCAATGGGTCCTTGTCCTTGCTAGCTCCTTTACCATAGTTCTCATCATTCCCTTCATCTTCAAAAAGATCCGTCCTCGAATTTCCACCTGCATCAAACAAGGAAATATCAAAAATATTAAAAGTAGTAGAAATGTTGTTCTTACATGGAAGATCCAACGTATAGGCATTGTTATTGATCTTTTCAATCACATGGAATGATCTATCTCTTCTCGGTTGTAACTTTGACTTCCGTTCTAGTTCAAATGTAACGTGCTTCCATCCTTATTTGCTTGAGAAGCATAATGTTCATTTTTCTTCTCGATTTGGCATGTACCTTCTCATGGAAGGATCTTACCAACTCAGCCTTCTTTTTTCTATCTAAGCTACCTCTCTCATCAACATGTAAATGAATTAAATCGAAAGGTGGTAGTGAATTAAAACCATAAACAATTTCAAATAGAATATAAGAAATAGTAAAATACATGCCCCTATTAAATGTAAATTCTATAAATTGCAATCAATTTTTCCAACTTTTCAAGTTTTTGTTGACTATAGTGTGCAATAATTGTGTCGTAGTCTTATTAACAACCTCAGTTGCCCATCCATTTGTAGGTGACAAGCTGTAGAGAATAATAACTTAATTCCTAACTTGCTCTACAAAGCTTTCCAAAAATGATTAAGAAACTTAACATCTCTATTCAATACAA